GCCAAGCGTCAGTCACGTTACGTGTCACTCATTTTGGCGCGAGAATGAAAATTGCGACAGCAGTCTCATTTCGGACAGAGTGGCATTACGGTCATTCGGAACTTCTGATATTTTGAATGATTTATTTTATCCGAAAGTAATTAAGAAACCCCAATAAAGATTCCTCCTTCTTGAGAAGCCAAAAGTCGATCAGCCATTCAAAAAATTCTTAGCATTTAATGGAAACCAATGGTTCGTTACAATGTCCACACAAGCCTATAATTGCTCCCCACCCTAAGTCAGAAGAAATTAATCCTACACCTCACATCCTGTTTCTGTAAGATTCATTTTAGAAATATCCGCCTACGTGTCACAAGCAGGAGTCGGGTTACCTCAGTCGGTATAGGAACGGACTACGAGTCGGATGGTCGGGGTTAGATTCCCGACAGGAGCACGATTTTCTCTTCTCCATAGCATCCAGACCGGCTCTGGGGCCCACCCAGCCTCCTATCCAATCGGTACTGAGGGCGGTTTTCCCGGGATTAAAGGCGCCGGAGCGTGAAACTGACCACTCGTCTCCAGCTAATACCGAGGTGAAAAATGGTAGAGCTATATTTCCATTACCTCCTACGTCTTCATGGTGTGGCACTTAATTAATTAAGCACATGGACGGATTTAGGTTTATAGTTAGGTCTTCCAAGCAGTTTCTTTTCTTCATATTTTCCAACCAAATCTGTGTATCCAGAGTGCATGCTCCACCCGTCTCAGTAACCTTGATTTCACCGTTCCAATAGTATTTGGCGCAGAGTACAAATCGTGCAGATCCCCACTATACGGTTCTCCTCAGCCCGTTACTCCTCTCTGAGCCCCAAATATTTTCTTCGGCGCCTTGTTCTTAGTCTTTTATTATGAAGGCCATTAATAAATCCTTGTGTTCTAGTCCAGCCCATTCTGAATTGCTGAAATAGCCACTCCCATTCTGTTCTCCGAGAAATATTCCCTTATGGTTTCAGGACTTCCATAAAGCACATAGTACGTAATATTGGCTGACAGCCTAATCGCCAACTGTGAGCCGATTGTCTAGAAAATGTGGGAGTCTCAACATCTCACAACCCTGTGGGTCTCCGCAGTCTGTTACAGGGATGGCTTTACCTTATCCTATAGTAACTCTTTGCTTCCCTCTTTATTTATTCCAGGAGATACCCTTATAAGCAGCTACATTCCTGGAGAGACTCTTATGAACAGCTACAATCACGGAAAGTCCCTTGCAAATAGCTACATTCCCGGAAAGACTCTTACCAACAGCTACATTCCCGGAGAGACTCTTACAAACAGCCAAATTCCCAGAGAGACTCTTACAAACAGCTACATTCCCGGAGAGACTCTTACCAACAGCTACATTCCCGGAGAGACTCTTACCAACAGCTACATTCCCGGAGAGACTCTTACAAACAGCCACATTCCCAGAGAGACTCTTACAAACAGCTACATTCCCGGAGAGACTCTTACCAACAGCTACATTCCCGGAGAGACTCTTACCAACAGCTACATTCCCGGAGAGACTCTTACAAACAGCTACATTCCCGGAGAGACTCTTACAAACAGCTACATTCCCGGAGAGACTCTTACGAACAGCTAAATTCCTGGAGACACTCTTACAAACAGCTACATTCCCGGAGAGACTCTTACAAACAGCTACATTCCCGTAGAGACTTACAAACAGCTACATTCCCAGATAGTCTCTTACGAACAGCTACATTGCCGGAGAGACTCTTACAAACAGCTACATTCCCAGAGAGTCTCTTACGAACAGCTACATTCCTGGAGACACTCTTACAAACAGATACATTCCCGAAGAGACTTACGAACAGCTACATTCCTGGAGACACTCTTACAAACAGCTACATTCCCGGAGAGACTTACAAACAGCTACATTCCCAGAGAGTCTCTTACAAACACCTACATTCCCGGAGAGACTCTTACAAACAGCTAAATTCCCGAAAACTGATCTTGGTTCACTGCTTGGCGGTCCATCACAGAAACCTCATATTCTCATGTCAGGGTGTGCGCTCCACATTGTAATAACCATAATATTAGTTAGTATAATGCGGTGAGTAATTTTTATTATTATTAGTCAAGGCGGATGAGTTGAGATGGGTAGGGCATGTAGCACGAATGGAGGCTAAGCAGAATGTTTATTGGATATTGGTGGGAATGCCGGAAAGAAAGAGACCATTGGGAAGACCAACACGTAGTTGGGTGTGCGATATTAAAATGGATCTTAGAGAGATAGGATGGGATGGTATGAATTGGATTTATTTGGCTCAGGATAGGGACCAGTGGAGGGCTCTTGTGAACATGGTAATGAATCTTCGGGTTCCATAAAATGCTGGGAAGTTAATGAATAGCTGTACAACTGGCAGCTTCTCAAGGAGGGCTCAGCTCCATGAGTGAGTGATTATTTTTGGGAAAGATATGGAAGGACGTAGGTATGTAATATTTTTTAAAGTTGGCTGTTTTATCTCAGAATTTGCATGGGGAGTTCAATTTGTTAATTTAAGTTGGTTTTCTGACGACGCTGTCGGTACCGACGCTATATAGCGTCGATAATAGGATGAGTAACGAATGTAAAGCAGTTGGTGAAATGAAAATTGGCAGGGTTAGCCGATGTACTTGGAGGAAAAACCCATCGAACTGCCATTTCGTACCCTCGCAAATCCCACACGACCTAATTTGGGACAGATCCCGGGCTGTCGTAGTGTCAAGTCGGCGAATAACCGCCTGAGGTATGACACCGCCGAAAGCTGCAGTCAGAATAGTCAGTCGTGAGGTCCAGAATCGAATTTGGGATCCATCCATTTAGAAACGATTGGATATTTACTGGATATAATTCTGATATCTAGAGCAACAAGCTCTGTTTGGTGCCCAGTTTATGCTGGTTTCTCGCTTGGCATGTTCATCGACCCTGAAGAGGGTGCCCGTATGTTCCTCCGAAACGTCAATTGACTTTAATCGGGCTATACAGCATTAGATCCCAAAGATAGAACTGATCATAGTTGCCGGTATGAGAACCCCAGACCTTACGAAGCCTCTCTTGTTCAGTTTGCTCCCTCGACCTTCTCGAATCAGCTCACTCTCACTCACTCACTCACGGAGCTGAGCCCTTCTTGAGGAGCCGGCAGTTCTGCAGCTACTGAAGAATTTCCCACCATTATATGGAACCCGATGGTTCATTACCATGTTCACAAGAGCCCTCCACCGGTCCCTATCATGAGCCAGATCAATCCAATCAATACCATCCCATCCTATCTCTTTAAGATCCATTCTAATATTATCCACCCACCTACGTCTTGGTCTTCCCAGTGGTCTCTTTCCTTCTGGCTTTCCCACCAATATTCTATATACATTCCTCGTCTCCCCATTCCTGCTACATGCCCTGCTCACCTCATTCTCGAATCAAGTCAGAATCTTTAATTGATGGTTATAAAGTTCATCCAGTCTACGAACCAGAATACGTCATATTTGTTCAGGCAACCTTTCAGAGGAGAATTTCTGTGTAAGTAATATTTAATTTTCCCACTCGCGTAGGAATACCGGAAGTATGTTGAAAGTAGATCTTACTAACTTTCTAATGACGACGTAATGGTCTGTGCCATTAACTACTGATGACGTAACGGTTTACGTCACTATCTAATGATGATGCACGCTCGTTCGCATAGTGGATGGAGTATAATGTGCAGAAATAATTTCAGCGAATACCAATAATCGGCTTTAATTAATCATATTGAAATATACAAATTTGATGTCACGTTAGTAGTTGAAATACGTTTTATGCGCTGTTACAATACTATTTCACTTTTACGTAACAGAATATTTCAGTCAAAATTAAGCCATTTTAAAATATCTGTTTAGGAACGTAATACATACTATTAGCATTGAGATTTGAGGCTTTCACGGCTGTGACTATGAAGAAAGCAGTCTTCTGGGATTTGGCACCGTGTATATGTGGTGTTAACCGACGTGTTAACCGTAAAAGCAGACTGCTTTTACCGGTTCTCACGGTCTCTTCGCTTGCAGATTTTATATTTTTTCTTCTACCCTGAAGATGGAGGCGATACGTTCCTCCGAAACGTCGGTTAACACCACATATACACGGTGCCAAATCCCAGAAGACTGCTTTCTTCTTATTAGCATTGAGTTTGCGGGATTTGATATTCGCTTTACGCGTTTTCACTTTACGCTGAGTATTCCAGGAAAGAAACTACTAAGTAAAACTTGGCCGCTTATATCCCCAAAAAAGTAAAGTCAAGATTTTATAAAATTTAAAACAATTCCTCATTGAGATTTGGCTTCTTGAAACATATTTACAGATGGACCAAAGTGTGGGAAAACCAATAGGAGTTTGCAAATTGTAAGTCCAGGTTAAATTCTCTGTTAGAGTCATACTGCATTTCAATTTCAGAAAAGTTAATAACGTCCTTGAAGTGATAGTCTCGTCACGTAATTTGACTGCGAAATCCTGATAAAGTCCGTGCTAAAAATATATATTTTTAGTATAGCTCCAGAAAGAGGGATTTCAACCTGTACATTTCAAATTTTTTTAAAACTAGAAGAATAAGAAAACATAGTGTTGCAGCATTTGTATTTCTCAAATATTTCCTTCTAAATGGCGTCTAATAACTTCACTTATAGCGAAATATTCAGTAGTGGATCGAATTAAATGTAAAATAATCTGCATCAGAAACCAATTCTGTAAAAATGTTCAGAGAAATGTAGTGAAAACTTGTTGATGCAGACGAATTTGCGGTTTTCCAGCAAAATTTCTGACTCAAATACTTTTTAAGATTTTTTTTTTCATTTAGTAAGTAACCTCTTTTAACATCTTCCGAAGGTATATTTTATACGGTATTGGATGAATTTAAAATTATTCGAAAACTGTTTATCGTCACAAGAGCTGGTTGAGAACGTATCCGCGATACGTCAGAATAAAAGTGACATAAATAAAACATTGTAGTACTCACGTCTTCCGCCAGGTAGCGCTCTGTAGCGGACACTCTCAGTAACCCCCTCTGTGCAATCGCTTATATACCTGTCTCACCCACCACTCGCGCACATTGCGCGGGGGTTGATATTCTTTTGAGGGGGCGCGGATATTCGAAACCGACTTGTAACCCCACTCCTCCCCTTCTTCTCTTTAACCCCCGTTCCGCAACATTTATGGGAGTCCGCGCAAGCCAAGTGACCACAATTCGCAACCCGCGAGCAAGAGGCGACTCGAATTTAAAAAATTTGTTGTAACATTGAATGTTTAACCAAACTTAAGGTAAAACTATCCCTGTAACAGAACGTGGAGGCCCATAGGGATGTGAGATGTCGAGGCTTCCACATTTGCTAGACAATCGACTCACAGATGGCAGTGAGGTAGTCAGCCTTAAACACAGGCCGCTATTTACCACCAGGAAGATTCCTGGTACTCATTTCTGTTAGAGGCTGAGTCGACCCCAGGGCTATAATGCGGCTGGAAGGATTAAGTCAAATGAAAAATCTAATGACCTCATCGGGAATCGAACCCGCAACCTTCTGGCTTGTAGCACAGTGCCTCAACCAGCTACGGTACCGCGTGTCCCCTGGAGACGTCACATGACATTGACTTTGACTATGTCTCAGTCTTCAGAGGGCTAATATCAAACCAATCCGGCGGGGTACTAGCCTAGCATCATCTTGAATGAGCTGAGACAGCGTTTCGGAGGAATCTGCTGCCTCCATCTTCAAGACCTTCTGAGATATTTGCGAATTTCTTCTACATTTTAAGATAAATGAAAAACCAATAAATCATAATTTCAGATAATACAACGCGCGCAACAAATGATACCATTTAACTGCCACTACAAAGTATTACTTTAAACAAAATGTATAGCCCCATTAAAGGGTTGTCTTATTTTATTCTTGGGGTGAGCCTGAATCCCTTGGTACTGCCGCTAATGTGCTACTTTGTATAAGTTCCTGATGAAAGTGAAAATGGAGCTTTGGGTGGAACGAGAATTGGCAGAGGAAGCCTGAAATACTTGGAGATAAATCTGCCCACGTACCATTTTGGCCATCACAAATCCCACATGGACTACCCTGGGAGTGAAGCCGGGCCTCCGCGGTGAGAAGCCGGCGCCATGAACTGTAACGCCCACTTTCTGGCTTCATTTGTCTTCAAACAAGAGGGGCAAGTCTTCTAGAGCTGGGAACGCCATAGTTGGTTGTTGTACGTAAAAGTTCAGAAATGTACCCATAATAAAGGTAATGCTCTCCCTGTAACAGGACGTGGGGGCCCATAGGGTTGTGAGGCGTCGAGGCTCCCACATTTTCTAGACAATCGGCTCACAGATGGCGGTGAGGTTCAGTGAACCCATCCCTGTAACAGACCGTGGAGGCCCATAGGGTTGTGAGACGTCGAGGCTCCCAAATTTTCTAGACAATCGGCTCATAGATGGCGGTGAGGTCGTCAGCCTTACGCACCGGCCACCATTTACCACCAGGAAGATTCCTGGTGCTCATTTCTACTAGAAGCTGAGTCGACCCCAAGGCCATAGTGGGGCTAGAAGGATTATGTCAATTTGAAACGCAAATGATCTCATCGGGATTCGAACCCGCGACCTTCCGCCTTTTATCATAGTGCCTCAACCAAAATAGAACCATAGAGTAACAAATCTTGGACGTTCACTATATTACCTTCCTGTTTTTAAGACCGAAAGTGTTGCACAGAAAGAAAGACGCACTGGGTATACAATGTCTTTCTCTTTTGCTTTGGAACATTTGTTTGAATAGTTCTCTTCCCGCAATACGTGTTTCAGGGCTTGCAGAAATATAGGTCTCAATGTAGAGCCCGCTATTTCACTCAAACTTAAAATGAATCTGGGATGTGTCGAAAAAAAAATGGCAAAACCCGCCAGTATCAAAAATTCACGAAAATCCATTCAGCGACCCCATCCCGCTCACGCGTCTTCATGGCAGCCTGTCTAATTAATTAAGCATCACGCCAGGAAAAAGTTTTACCTTTCGAAACGTGACGAGATGCGAAGTTCTCACCACGGTGACTATGCAGATCACTGTCTTCTGAGATGTAACACCGTGTAGTCTAATGGATGGTTATTAATGTTTCGACTGAATCTGCAATCTCCGTCTTCTGAGCACAACTCATCTACATTGAAGATTAAGGCAGTAGTTATACAACTGGACAGACTTACAAGACATTGGACTTAAATCACCGTAATTATGATTGTATCAAATGCGAAGAGTACGGATTACAAACCATGATCATCATCATCATCATCATTGGCAAAACAGCCGTTTTTGAACCATAGTCTTCCTTCGAAGAGTCTTCCATATTTGTCTTGAATTAGACAAACCGGTTTTCGCTTCTATGGATCTCGCAACAGTAATATTTTACGGAGCAAGGTTGTCAGCCTTGCGTCCAACCCCCAAACCAGGAGGACCATGTGTTTGTGTTTACGACCCCCAGTAACAGGGTGACTCAGATAAATCCCCAGGCACCGGGTTCTCTTTTCGTCACCTTCTACGACTCGCAGGGTTGCGGTGAAGGTGTTGCATTTTTTTTTATTGCTAGTGAGGTGGGACTAACTCCCTTGAACTGCGGCCACTTCTGGCCTATTGTACCAGCCCCAGATGATAGGTGAGGGAGATTGTGGAGCAATTGGTGGAATGAAGATCAGCAGGGGAAACCGAAGTACTCGGAGAAAAGCTGCCCCAGCGCCACTTTGTCCACCACAAATCCCACTTCACCAAACCCGGGATCGAACCCGGGCCGCAGCGGTGGGAAGACAGCGACTAACCGCTTGAACTATACTCGCCTGCACACGGGATGCGGGGTGTTAATTTTTCACGGCATCCACCGCCTTGTTGAGTATAATGTTGTTCGTTCCTTAAACTTCGGTTGACCCTGAAGCGAAGTGATTGGCTTGGTGTTTGGGGTTCCCGTTTGCCAGCACAGATTGCGTTGGACGCAATCTGCAGAACAAACTGACGCCTTGCCTGGTAATCAACACGGCGTCCATGAAAAGGAGGCTCAGATAAGGGGGCTCCAGTACCTTTATCAACATTTTCAGCCCTTTCTATTATCTTTTCCTATTTAATGAATGAAACCAGGCTTATGATACGATCTTCCTGTCTGTGTATCCCACGTACCAACTTTTTGACCAGTTGACCGATTTTCACGAAACTTGTTATGAACATTATACAATCTGAGGCCACCGTGACGTCATATTTTTCAACTTCTTACAATTAGTATTGAAAAATCGGTCGCGGCGCGAAATTACGAGGTGGGAGATGCAGTCTGTCTGTCTGTCTCTCTCTCTGTCTCTATCTATCTATCTATCTATCTATCTATCTATCCATCTATTCCTGTTGCTCTCACTTGGAGCATAAGGTATCTGTGAAACACTTCGCTTCACCTCAATTTCTTGGTCTTAGGCAGTCAGTATGACACCTTGGACGGGGGATCAGCCCGACGCAAGGCCGCTACCTACATAAAAACAGAATAAATGCAAACATACATCCATGCCTTGAGTGGGATTCGAAACCACGATCCCAGTTTTGAAACGGGCGAAGACATTTCATGCCTTAGAAAGCGCGGCCATTGTGATCGGCTGGAAGAGGCAGTAGTGCCCCTTAATTGTTGGTCTTTATATGATCCAGAGTGACAGATGCAGCTTTTGTTAAGGCATTTGCTTAAATGTAGGAAGATAAAGCTATCCTTATACTAGGCTCTGAAGGTCCATAGGGTTGTGAGACATCGAGGTTCCCACATTTTTGCTAGACAATAGGTTCACAGATGGCGATAAGTTTGTCAGCCCTATGCGCCGGCCGCCCTTTACCCCCTGGAAGATTCCTGGTACTCATTTCTGTTAGAGGCTGAATCTGCCCCAGGGCCATAGTGCGGCTGGAAGTATTAGGTCAATTGTAAATCCAATGACCTCATGGGGAATCGAATCTGCGAACTTCCGGCTTGTAGCACGATGCCTCAACCAACTACGCTACCGACTGGCGTATGTTTCATGAACAAGAAATTATAAACTCACGAGCAAATCGGTGGTCCAGATGTAGTCATCTGCCTAATTCAAGGAAAAGGTGACTAAGGACACACAGATACTGCGAATTTGGTGGCTCCAAAGCATTGACTTTCCCCTTCCATGAACTGTTTAAGATTGAAAGGTGTACCGCAATTTGGAGTATTCCTATTTCACAGAAGCCTTCACTGACCTTAATTTTTACTTATTACAAAATGGCGTTCTCTCAGCGGGACAAAAGTTTTCTGCGCCTCCTCCTCCTTGTTCTTATTCGTCTTCTTCAAGGCTATGAAATGCTCAACCTCGCCGATTCAAGTCTAGCTAAGAATATATCTCGGAAATACAGATGTGATTTGGCATTGAATTAACTCTTTAAATCACTAATGTTGCTATATATACTATGTGTTTTAACGTTAAAGAATATCTATACTTTTATCACAGAATATTACGTGGCTTTTATAGTTTTCTATAATAAATAACTACAATTTTTCTAGTCAAAAGTAACCACTTCTGTTTTTGTAAGAAGGAGCAGTGTTTTTTTCAGTCTGCTGTCAAAAATCATAAAGATTAGAATATACAAAACTATAATTTTTCCCGTGATTCTGTATGGGTGTGAAACTTGGTCTCTGATATTAAGGGAGGAACATATTGAGAATAGGGTGTTGAGGAGAATTTTTGGACGGAAGAGAGATGAAGTGACACGAGGTTGGAGAAAACTGCATAATTATAGCTTCATAACTTGTACTCTTCTCCAAGAATAATTAGAATGATCGAGTCAAGGAGGATGAGGTGGGCAGGGCATGTAGCACGAATGGGGAGACAAGGAATGTGTATAGGATATTGGTAGGAAAGCCAGAAGGAAAGACACCACTGGGAAGACCAAGGCGTAGAAGGGTGGACAATATTAAAATGGATCATAAAGGGATAGGATGGGATGGTATGGATTAGATTGACCTGGCTCAGGATAGGG